TGAGCTCCGATATGCATACATATACCAGGATCTTTCGATCCTCTGCTTCTCGCAGTTTCATCTACAGATAGATCTCGTCGATCTATCTTCCTGAAGTGAATGGTTGGCCCTGGAGGGCTTTCCACTTTACTAAACCTATGACCTTCATCCGTCCATTCATTTGTTCCGTCCCATCGCTCCTTGCATTCATCTCTTCGACCTAACTTCCTAACCTTTGTAGTTGCATCATCTAGACGACCATGTCCTCGTTCCTCGTACTCCTGGCCATCTGATGATGATCGGATAACCATCTGATTTGAGTCACACATCCCAATCACGAACCGTGATGTGGATCCCGAGTCGTCTGTCCGTCATACGAAAAACCTTTCTGACACCCTTCCTGTTTTCGCGATGATGGCAGCGACCTTCTTACCAACTCAAACCAATTGCTCCTTGTCTCCTGTTAGTTTCGGTGCATGTCTGTCGAGGGTCTCGACGTTGACATTCTTGGTTCCAATGTCGCTCACGTTGTCTTCCGAGCAAACGAAATCAATCTTCACTAGGCCGTCCTGCTGCATTTGGTTCACGTAGTGCCACCTCGTATCCATATGCCTTGTTCGACTTGCACTGTCTTGTTCTCTGACATAAAGATAGCACTACGTTATCGATCTTCACTATGCACAGGTAGTTCCACGTTGATCTGTAGAGAACTTCAGAATCTGCGCGATGAAAGGGAACTTCTCGCACTGCTTTGCCACACTCGTAGAACTCAGCTTCGGAACTCGACAATGCTACGACACTTCTGTAGCTTGGACTCTCAGTGAATGAGTACACCTCCGAGAAAGATCATCATGGAAGTGAACTGATCTTTCTGTTGTTCTTGTTCTCCGGCCCAATCGAAATCCGAGAATACTTCGAATTTCCACGGTCCTCAGTTTTCTCTGGTCTCATCAATGTCCACGGTTCCTTGAGTCAACACGTACTTTACACAGCTAGCATTTCATTGTACGCTGCCGGCGTTGCGAATCCCAAGACCATTAGCTAGCTCTCGTACCGCGTTCGAAGATTTCTGGCCCTTGAATGCTTGATAAGGTACATGAGCATGCCTACTCCTGTTCGATATCTGCTCTGTTGTGTCTTCAGCCATCCATTCGCTCTGTTCGCTGTCTTTACTATTCCGAGTCCAGGTGTTCCCGCAGTCTTGTGCTTGGATAGCTTCTGTACGTCCTCTCTGAATGTGGTTTGAATCTTCTTAATCATGTTGGGTTGTCCCACCCATGCAGCATCCTTTCGGGGATTCATTCGAATCTCACAGCTCAGGTAGTGCTGTGAGTTCGTACTCAATGGTCATGTTCAAGCCTCGATTTTGTTGTAGAGCTCACAATCTGAACGAGAGAGAAAGAGAAAACGAAACAGATAGCCAGTCTACTAGACAGTAGAGCTGGAAGGATATTGATTAAATTAGAGAAATTGTGCGTTCAAGTTCACACCTTTTCAACAGATTTCCAGCCTGCCGTGTCTACCGAGAGATAGAGTTAAAATCATGTGAAAGTTTCGTGGAGGATTTACACGACCTTCGTTCATCCGAGTTGCCGTTCAGGAATGACACTACAGAACAGTCGTACCTGTACCTCAAGAGGATCCTTCGAACTTGTCCACAACCTCGCCCACCACAGTAGGGCTCTTCACTGCAAGGTACCGGTAGCCAGTAACGAGAAGGAAAGGTCTCTTGCTCAGTTCTAAGAACCATGACTGTCGAGATGAGTAATGCGTCAAGCGAAAGCTCCAATGCGGTCATTTTTTCTCGTCGGCAAACATGCATGGCTCTGCTGCTCTTCGTTGGTGGTTTCCTTATGTTTCACGATGTCGATGTTGCTAGGAGAGCCATGGAAGAATCTCGTCCTTCAGAGCACAATCGTATGATCCGAGAAACCCCATTGGGAGACAGATTATGGGTCAAGCTCGCGCAGGAGGAGCGAACCAAGTTTCACGAAAGGCTAAGGCGCGATTACGGAAACGAAAACTTCGCCAACATCTTTCTTCTTCAGGATTCAGACGATGAAACACAATCTCATGGACGAACAATCTACACATCACCACACGGTTTGTCCTGGGACAGATTAAAGCGCAAGCTCATGATCAAGATTCTTGATGCCAAGGTTGCTGCGATGAAACGGGCCAGTGGCGAAAAGATGACGGACCGCCATCAGCACGAAGACGCGGAGGTGGAATACAGCATCAGACGCTTAACAGCGCGATCCTTGTCAAGTCATACTGGCGATGAAAGATACTATTCCAAGTTTGTTTGGGCTACTGGTGGGCACTCGTCGGCTGCAGGTCATGGTAATTTCCTGCCTGAGGCCTACACGGCTGTCTTGGAAAAACGTGTGAAGCCCATTTTTGCTTCACTTGGAATTGAGTTTGTGGCCAAGCCCTATGCCATGGGCGGAACGCCATCGGGTGAAGAAGTGGCTCTTTGCATTGAACAAATCTTTGGAGACGACATCGATCTGTAAGCACGCCCCCGGTCTGCGATGTGTTGAAAAACGGCTGCTTCTTCACTTTTTGCCCACTCAACTCAACTTTGCTTTCTTAGGCTTGTGTGGGACTATGGCATGATGGATTCCAGTCGGTATCTGGAGTGGAGACAGCTCCTCTACACCTATCACACGGCCATGGGAAGGAATCGCCCAGCCTCCATTGGGATTGACTTTGCCGGAGACAAAACCAGAATCAAGATTTACGCCGAGCTTGAAGCACTTGGAATGACAGTATTTTATGAGAATCGAACCATGATCAAGCAAATGAAGGACGCCATTCCCGACTCTCAGGGCTTGACCGACGCAGAGATTGATCAGATGCCACCCCTTGTGAAGCAGCTCCGTTGTGGTGCCGGATTGGAAAGAGGCGAACCGGGTTGTAGGTCTTGCAAATACAACGAAACAATCTGTCCCAGGCGGAAGGGCATGTCATCATGGCACCCAGGATGGTATGTTTCGCTGCACAGTACAGTGCAATAGCACGTTCGAAGTCATCCCTCTCACATTCCCTTTGCTTTCTGCAGGAAAATGCACGCCCTTAGTGGTAACTCTCTGGCTCTCTTCCTAACGGAGGCATTGATGGATGCCGTCGCACAACTAGACTCCCGACCAGACCAAGACTGGCAAGCATTGCTTGACCAGTACAATGCCGAGGAAGAGGCAGACTATGCAAGGATCCTGGAATCTGATATCCCGCCAGAGCTCAGCCCCATAGCCAACTGGATTCTTGGAAGTGACGACGAGTCTCCCTTTGGTAACGTGGACATACGAGAGCTCTACAAAAGACGCTCCTTCTGCCACACAGCATTGCTCCCATCAGATATACGGTACAAAGGTTTGCTGACACAAAACTTCACACACACTGGCGGCTGGGATTCTTCTTACGACAAAGGTATTCCAAAGCCAACAAAGTCGGACCCCGTCCAAGAAGTTGACACAGGCGAAATGATATTGGCGTTTGATCCCAGGGAAAGGAACAAATGGTGCCCCGAAACTACTCGCATAGACTTCAAAGACTTCTACTTCCTTAGTTCGAAAGAAGGGTGGAAGTCACTCACCATACCCAATGGCGCAGAGCAGCAATATTACGGGCTTGATACTGCAGACATGATGGGTATGGTCCTCATGTGTTTGACCCAGTGCGATTGGGGTGAGTGTAAAAATGAAGACATGAGAGACCAGTTTGATAAGGGCCATTTGGAGATGACGGTGAATGGTGTTCAGGTAGTGGAATACACCAAGATTGGAATATGCTGGGCATTGAAAGGAAAGGACAACAGCTACCGCTGGGAGCCCAACGAGCAAAAGAAATACGAGATCAGAGCTCGACTCCACAGCAAAGAAAAGGGATTCTCATACCTTCGCTTCAGCTCATTCATCCTTGTGTGAGACTTGTTTGGGATGTCAACACAACAACCACTCAAGCGTACCAGGGCAACGGACGATGTCTGGTGCTCGAAATTTACAGCTATAATACATGTACGACTACGGTGCAGCTAGGCTAGCATGACCTCGTTACTGGCGGGCAAACCATTCCAGAAGGCAGACGACCACCTCTTCGCGCAGATTCATTCAAATGCAGCTTGCACAGAGCAGCAGCTAGTTTTTTAAGAGCTGTCATATTCTATCTTCCATAATGTCTTGCCGTAGCCGCAGCATCAGATCATTCATGTAATGAATATTGTGCTGTGCAGCCAGAGTCGCAGCAATGGGCTCATTTGCTTTGAACAAATGCCACAGATAAGCACGGTCATAGTGCTGACAGGTCGTGCATTGGCATTCATCGTCAATCTTGACCCCAAAGGCTCTGGCGTTCTCCTGATTGCGTATTTTGATACTCGTTCCCGGCTTGCTGGGATCATCTTTGTTGCGTACGAGCAAGGTTCCATGGCGAGCAATTCGAGTCGGATAACAGGAATCCATCGTGTCAATGCCATGGACAACTGCGTTCCGGATACTTTCTTCATCGGCAATCCCCAAGAGATGCCGAGGTTTGCTACGACGATGGGGTGTTTGATCGAACAGTGGCATCATCCATGTGAGTAATTCCTTCAACTCCTGTCGCCCATTCCCGAGCGACCCTCCAATGGCATATCCGTCAAACGGGAGCGACGTGAGATAGTCAATGCTTTTGGTGCGCAACTCCCGGTCAATTCCCCCATGAATCACCGAGTACATGGCCTGATTCTGCACGTTTTTCAAATGCTCTTTCAAACTACGAGTCTCCCATCGATGAGTCCTGATGTTGTCCAACAGAGAGAAGAAAGTGAGAACCCAAGGAGCATGTGACGTTTCTTTTCGAGACAATCAATCCCCATTACCAACGCACCGATCGACCGAATCTACCAACCGATCGCGATCCACATGGTACGGCGGCAATTCATCCAACGGGATGATGATATCGGCACCGATATCCTTTTGTGACGCTACCGTGGATTCGGGTGTCAATAGAAAGCGACTTCCGTCACGATAACTGCGAAAGACAACTCCCTCTTCGGACACCTTGACCATATCACTGTGCTTCCCTGCCTGTTTCTTCTTTTTGCCTCCCGTTCGTTTCAATTCTCCCTTGGACGACAGTTCCTCGTGGACACTACCATATGCCAGCGAAAAGACTTGAAAGCCACCCGAGTCGGTAATAAAGGGTTGATTTCGTCTGTTCGTCCATGCATGAATGCCTCCTGCCTCGCGGACAATGTCGGATCCCGGATGAATCATGAGATGGTACGTATTGGCAAAGATCAATTGTTGTCCTGCTTGATCGGCGGTTCGAAAGTCCACGCCTTTCAGGGCTGCATTGGTTGCCACAGCGACAAATCCGGGTGTGTCAATGATCCCATGAGGGGTGTGAATCCGACCTACTCTGGCTTGACTAATGGCAGATTGATGAATGATTTCGTAGCGGAAAAAGGGCTTGTCTTTTTGGTTGTAGGCCCATTCGGGAAAGTCGTCATGCCGATCTCGAGGGGATTGTGGACTGACAGTGGTGATGGTGCCACTGCTGTTGCTGCTCGCGATTCCTTGGTTGCTTTCCGTAGAGGAGGAGGAACACAAACGGATGTTCCTAATCCGAGCCAATGACGGCACAGAGAGACCACTTCTGGTCGGAATTCCATACCGGTACACGGGCGTTTGTACAACCGATCGACTTGCCAAAGAGAAACCCATTGCCCCGTTCCAACCGTCCACACCTCGACAAGCAGTTGTCAACCACGAAACAGCGACCCAAAGAGCTCCACAACAGTACTTCATTAGAGGACTCCGAGGGTGGGCCACCATCTCCAGAACAATGCAAGGATCGAGCAAGGTTTGTGAAAAAGTAAGTTGAATGGACGAGCTTTGATAACCTGAGCTCTACCGTAGATTTGTTTTTTGCCAGCGTGCTTGCGAATTGATCACTAATAAGCGGGGCTCAGTCTCCACGCCTAACGCCCGCCAAACCGAGGAATCCAATGACAGTCAAATTTAACACCCGACCCGCTGACTGAACACATCCGTGACCAACAAGATCACTCCACTAGAGAACCAATGAACCAATGACGTCAAGCCAGACGTTGTTTGAGTGCTGCACCAACCCACGCTGAAGTCAAAGCAAGATCTCATCAACACAACTGACCGTGACTTCCGCCTCTTTGCAGCACAAATGTTTCCAGCTCGGGCTGATGCTAGCGTATGCTTCAATGCGGAAGCACGCTGCTTGATTGACATGGGCAATGTTTTCATTGTTATGCCACAAGGGGACAACCTGCAGCCCTATCAGCGATCTATCTTCCGCCTCGAAGTCCAGCGCCAAAACGTTGAATTAGCCGATGATAGCCGTCTGTCTAAGGACGCTTGTTTGGCTCTACTCAAAGCCAAATTCGACCAGTTGCCCTATTGCGACATCTTTGGGGTCAACTTTCCCTTCTTTGCCCAGGGAGAAGTTGGGGAGGGCCAGAACAAGCATCGGCCTTGCGTTGCTCTCTATGGGGATGACGATCAAGTACCGATGTACATTGGTGTCTACACGGGAGCTCCAACTGACGTAATGGCTGCCGCAAAGGACAACCAGTTCTGCCTCCTGTTGAAGCCTTCCACCGACGTCCTCCCACCCACGGCATCCAACCAAATGGTTGTTGACTGCGCGAAAGTTTGCAGCTTCCCGAATCTGTACAACCTCCCGGACGACTACCTCAATGGCATGCCCACATGGAAGAAGTACCTCTCGGATCCTAGCAAGCACGAGTCCGTTCTGTCCAACCACCTACGGCCTGCCAACCCACAAAGCCTCCGCAACGAAATCATCAAAAAGATGATCGCGATTCTGATCGCCAATCCCATTTTCGATTATCGTGATAGGACTCTTGAGCTTGACATTGGGACTATGGTCAAAGGCCGCAAACTGCGCGAAGGCGAATGGCGCAACTTCAAGAAGGTCTACGAAGGACCACCCAAGCTCTCTGCTGCGGGGCTCCCTCCCGCTCCGGAAAAGAAGGAGTTGTCTCTGGAGACCGAGCTCTCCCCCACTCCGACTAAGAAGGGTTTGCCAAGGACCCCACAATAACACCCTGAACGCTCTTTGCAGCCTTGGGTGCACAAGGGGTAGGGACGGCTACACATTCCAACAACAAAAAAGAACAACTGGAAACAAGAACACACAACCAACATCTAAGAACAAGAACCACACAACCAAAAACTAAAAACAAAAACCAACACGCGACAATCAACAATCATCAACAATATCATCACTGCAAAACAAAAAGGTCATACATGTCTAACCAGAATTTTCCCGAACGCGCATCGCAATTTGTAGTGTATGGTGTGCTTGCCCTGGGCGATTGTTTTCCGGTGAGCTGGCGCCTCTGACCGCTGAACGGATGTTCCTATCTACGTAAAACAACCACCTCGGCCATCACGCTCGGTTGCCATGGCATCACGCAACAATCAACCTCAGCCGGCACAGCTGAGAGATACCGACCATATGGTATCAAGTGAGAGTTTCGCCGTGTCCACTGCCTACAGCAACAACCAGAGAGAGTTTGAGCTGCAGCGTTAGTTGCCCCATGGTGTGCTACAACTAACGCTGCCGCTCGGATGGTCAATCGATTTCTTGTTGTTGCTGGATATATGCCTTGGACACCACTGACACCATGTGCTTCATCGATTCGGTGTCAAAATTTTCCATTTTTTCTATACAAAAGTGGATACCGGCATGGCATCCAAATCTCGGTTATCGGTCAGTTACAACCTCGATAATATAACCCACATTTCTCGCACTACCGGTAGTCTAGCTAGCTAGTCGCTCAGATACTACCGTACGGCTGTAGCCAGCAAACGAAACGTTACGAAACATTCCTGCCTTTGTAGTACCCGGTATCAATGACGTCATCCTCACTCGAAGATCTTGCCAATGTTGCTGTCCGATGCCACCAGACCACCCCACCCCACACCAACACTCAACCTCGATGATGTCTTCATGCATGATGCATAATACCGCTATCATCAGCCAAGTTCGACGAAGCTCATACAAGCCAGTACCGTAGGCAACACACTACCGGTACGGGTGGATAATCAAATCCATTTTAGTTAAAGCACCGTAGCAGCAACAGCCTGAGCAACAACAGCCTGACATACCGTATGATACTCCTGACAGTCCCGACCTTTTTGTTCTGTCTGCTCTGCCAGACAGAAGCATTTCACGTGTACCCTACAGCACCAAGAAGGCTTGGTATCTCCAGTTCCCAAAATAGAATTCACGGCTTGGCCAACTCAGAAGAAGGGCATGTTGACAGCATTGTTAGTGCGGAGGATACCGGCAGTGATGTTCGCAACAGTGCTCTCCTGAATCGAAGGACCCTCCTCGGGACCGCGTTGGGTAGCTTGGGTGCCCTGTTGTCGGCTACCCCTTCGGCCGATGCTGCCATGACGGAAGAGACCAATACATTTGCAGACACTTGGTGGAATCCGAATACCAGCAGCACCAAATCCAGCTCTACTACTGGCCAATCCTCCACCAACAACAATACCCCATCGGATGAAATTGCCGTATCCATATCCCGACAAGATGCACAGCGTGGATTGGGCATTGAATTGGCAGAGATTGAATTTCGAACCAACCTTCGAGTCTACGTCAAAACCGTCCTACCAGGTTCCTTGGCCGAGAAATTGGGCATTCAAAAGGATTGGATTGTGGTCTCTGTCAACGGACAATCGGCCGAACGGACCAATGCAGAAGGCGTTACGTTGATGGTTTCCAGAGCCATCCGGTCCGGATCCGAAGAAACGATTCAGTTGCAATTCCGAGACAATAACTATTTCAAAGACAAACTATCCGCTGGATTGACACCCAATCAACCCGTTACGACGCAAGTGGCACCGGCGGGAGATACCACTCAACGAAATCGCGATGGATCTGTACGGACCGGCACTGTCACGTCCCAAACCGATCAACGAGTCACTGTGGAGCAGCTGATTCCTCCCAAAATGTGTACCCGGGGAGCTCAGACCGACGATCTCTTGGAAATCTCGTACCTCGGAACCGTCGTCGAGACGGGAGATATCTTTGATGGATCCGCGGTCAAGATCAATGGCAAGGCAATCCCTGGCCGCGGAGACGACGTTAGTCTCTATTTTGTGCTAGGGAAACAACCCTTTGGACAGTTCCCGCCTGGATGGGATGTCGGACTAACTGGTCAATGTGTCGGAGAACGACGGCGAGTCATCATTCCTCCCGTGTTGGCGTACGGGAGTGCTGGATTGCCAAGGAGAGGGATCCCACCCGATGCCACACTGCAATACGATATCACTTTGGTTTCTCTAAATGGTCTCTCTACTCCGCAATGATAATGTCCTTAAGGAACAAGATTCTGAATGAAGTTTCCTTGTAGTATCCATTAGACCAACTTGTTTGGACCTCCTTATTCGTGTAGTGCATGCATGTCATCTTGCAATCATTAGATCAACTTGTTTGAACCTCCTTTTTCGTGTAGTGAGTGCATGTTATCTTGCAATTCTTCTCTGCAGAGCTAGTTGGGAGGCGGCTTTCTTTTATGACCCGCCACTAGGGTTCTTCATGCGGACTGGACGATCCAGATTCAGATCGTGCTCCCTCGTCACTGCCACTGCTTGAGAAGGCACTCTCTGTCAGGGTTGCTGCGGTTGGAATATTTACGTTGATCTTGTTGCCCTGTATGGCTGCTGATGCAGCGATTAGAGATTGATCCTGATTGGATCCACAACCATCACTACCAGAACTCTCTGAGACGCATGCATCTGACAACACCTTCACAGGCGATACTTGCTCTGACCACACCTTCACAGGCGATACTGGATGATGTGATGCCGCCATAGCTGCACCAATGGTACCGTGCTGGTGCATGACGCCCACCCCTGCACCTCCCACAAAAGCAACAGCCGCAGCGTTGGATGATTCAACCGCAGGCGGAGTTGGTTTCTTGCCACCTGGAAAACCTCGTTTTGCCTCATCAGAAGTGCTCCGCTTTGGCTGATCGGTACGTTCAGGAGATTCAGGAGAGAGTGTGTTGCTACTGCCACGGCGATTTCTCGTCCTTCTATCAGACTCTCCAAGATTCTTGAGCGCCCTCTTCGTGGCCAGTTTGTCATCAACATCATGCCACAAGCTGTCTGCATTGTCCGGGTTAGTGCGAGTCAGGAACCTTCCTGGTGGATTCAGATTCCTCCAATGCTGGACAACCTTCATTGCAATCTCTGGTTTCTTATACCTTGGAGCAGCCTGGTACTCTTCTCGGAACTGCTTTACGAACTCCCGAAATGCCAGGTTGCCACTGAAGTGGAGAGCGAGGATAACGTTGTCACAATAAGTTTCAGAGCAAGAACGAAGCTTCAGGGACGACTTAGTCTGCATAGAACACTAACGAACCTATGATAGTTTGATTCACCTCCGCGCCCCAACATCTGTCCGCACAAACGAAGGCAAGTAAGTTAGTACGACAGGGAGGACCTGCACACTACCTCCATCCTTTGATGCTTTCCACTGACGGATTTGACTCACCACGTCTAAACGTAACAACAGTATGTGTAGAATAGACAAGATGTGTTGTGCGCGAGATAGATAGATATAGAAAGTGCGATGATGGTGAGGGCGGCCAGGAAAGATCAGACGGCGTTCGATCTTGTGACTACTGTTGGCTTACCGTGCTTGCCCGGGTACTCTATATTCGATCGCGGATAATGACATAACGAAGATGATCTCAGGTTACGAGCGCATTGTAGCTGTGACGGCGGACTCTTTGCCTCTTTATTAGTGTTGGACATGGCTATGGGCTCGGAGAAAACTCTGATCATGACAAGGACCACTACTAGAAAAACAAAGGAAAAAATTGATGTGAGAGTGTGAGAGTGTTAAAAAGAGACAAAAAGAGACCGACACGGACAAGAGCGGTTGAATTGGTCTCTGGTTTGACTGAGCGTGAGAGGCCTCAAGGGTGACGCCACAGCTCGCAACCACTTACTTTGCCCCTGCGTAGATTCTGCGGTACAGCAAACTGATTACTTAGCCTTACTTGCGTATCAACGAAATCACTTGGTAAGCCTTCCTGTACCGCTCGGACAAGAGATGAACGTCATTTCTTCACTTTCGCCAGATGAGGCAATAGATATCCCCCGAAAAGACAGGAAGAGTCAAAAAGGAAGCCTCAAACAGCCGCCAGGCCAATTCCAAAAGAACCTCAATATTTAATGCTTTAAAAATGCTTTTCAAACGCAAGTTCGTCAAAAGGAATGGGATCATGGCATCCCCTTTTCTGTTTCCTGCGACACAATGACTTCTCTCCTAACTCTCAGTTGCCTATGCACGATAGCATCGCACAATCACCTCGGAAGAAGCAGGCTCCACCCGAAACTTTTCAGTGATTGGTCATACCCAGGTACCGTAACACCCTCTACAATGTGGCCAGGTAACACCCTCTACAATGGGTCGTGCTCCTTTCGGGTCCTTTTCAAGAAGAGAAAATACGTGGGGAAAGAAAGATATAGAGTAAGACCCCCAGTCCTGCAACCCTCTATATCTCGCTTCCCATGTGTCGGACCTTCCCCATCCTTCCGAATCTAATTCTTTTCCTCTCTCTCGCCTCAGATGCGATGGAATTAGCACGTTTTGTAGCTTAAACTATCATAGAAACTCCCAAAGTAGAATGTGTGCCGCGCAAGACTCCCAAATATTCTAATTAGAGGCGCGAAATAATGGTGGCAGGCCTGGTGGCATGCGCAACTGGCTGGCTTATATCAAATCCGGTGAAATCTGTCACATTTTCAGTAGCGTGGAGCACAATGGCGTAACTGTTGCCGGTGGACAAACTTTCACACAATGACGGAGCAACCGAAACACTACGGACCACATCAGCACTGCTTTATCAAGAGAGTAAGAGCTGACATTGACAGGGATGGGAAGGCTTACTTCAAAAGCTGCAACTGGAAGGAAATAACTCCGACTGGTGGAAGGTATTGCTCCACCATCCTGGACAAGAGCAACAACAAGAGGATAACCCGCGAAAGCTTTTGCATACGACCGACTGCAGCATGGGTCCCTCACCTCCTATTCAAGAACCATGTACCACACTGTCCGCACTGCAAGAAGAATGATCAGGTGAATGTTTGCAATTCTAAAACCAGATGGATCAGGACACCCAAAGTTGTTTTTGGTGTTTCCAGGTACAAGTATCTGGACACGAAGCTTTATCCATGCAACCGTTGCAGGCGCATGTTTACTGGATTCAACAAACAGTCCATGCAGCTTGACGCCAACCTATACAATGCTTATTTCAACTTCTACCTTGGACCCCAGTTTGCATGCGACGAAGAGGTGTACCGTCAGGTAATTGAAGATTCGATGACCCAGTCTACTGCCGAGATAGCACGGAAGCTACAGAAGATGGCATACGCGGCCTACTACGACGACTTCATGCTGTACCTTGCTGCCGTGGGACTTGACAAGATCCGTCCAAGGAAGAAAACGAAAACTCTTGACTCCATGATTGAACGACGCACCAACCAGTATGATCCACATCTAGCATATCTACAGCGGAGGAAGCAAGACAAAGAGAGGCTAGTCACTAATCTTAAGCTATCGCGATCCAGCGCACGGGCAAGAGCAGAGGGAGATGTGGAATTCTTGAAGCTCCTTGGTCCAAAGGGAGATCGAAATGTTTATGGAATGAAAAACATTCTCCCAGGTTTGGGCTCTGTTAAGTTGAAGAGGTTAATTGCGAATGGTCTGTTGACGATGCATGACCTGATGAGAGTCGATCCGGAGCATGATACAGAATTCGAGATACCCAGAAGATTGTTGTTCCAGTGGCAGGATTGGTGTGCGCAGTACATTCAAAAATGGGATTCTGAATTCGAAAGCCTTAACACGAAGGTCTCTGATGCCGAGAGGGAACTGGAGGAAGCCACAGAAGCACTGGGGGCACATGTACCACAGCATGGGGCGGCGAATCCATCGGTTAATGAATCCGAAGAAGAGGAGACTGGCCCATCGATGTTCCCTGCTTTCAAGGACGTGAATGGATATTGTGGCAAGGTTCTGTCCAAGCATCGGATTGGCAGCATTGTCCTCTGTTTTTTCAAGGCACGGCAACCCTTCCAGGAGGCAAAGATGTGTTCTCTCTGTTGCACGGTGGCAAAGGCTGACTTCAATTACAAGCTGGCGAAGAAGATTCATGTTTGGACCAAGCAAGGGCAAAGCTTCCCTCCATACCAATGCATTGTCACAATTCAAAACGAGGATGGAATGACAATTTTCTGGAAGGGACTCCGTCACAGCGAATCCATTTCAGAGATAATGGAAGACTTGAAGCGTTTACGGCTGCGATTGAATCTCAACTTGAAGAGGAAGAAACTTGCCGATGAGGCCGCCATTACCAGAGATCTTTTCGCTGATCCAAGTCAGTACCAACCAAGAAGATTGGAGGATGTGGAACACGAAGAGGCAGTGAAAGTTGTTTATGTGGATAACTGCTGCACCACCCGTCGCATGTTGCAGAGAGCTTTCATTGGGGCAATTGTTTTATTGGATGTGTTTCACTGGTTGAAGCGATTCAATGATGCTTTTTACAAGCCAACAAGCAGACAAGCTGGAATAATTAGAGGGCTACTTCACCGTGCCATGTTTCTTGTGGAAACGTCTGAATATGAGAGGGCGAAGGAGCTTGTTGCCACCAAGAGAAAGAGGGAGCCAACAGTTAAGGAGATCCTCAAAGAAGCCAAATCAAGCATTCCCAAGCCCCATATTCTAAGAGCGAATGTTGAAGCCGTCATCTGGTATGCACAAGCCAAAGACGCAGAGATTGAATCAGACTTATCAACAAGGTCACCAGATGATACCAGTCCTAAGCCAGTGCGTTTCCTCAAGACTGGAAGTGTAGTGCGCGATGTCATCAAGAATGCTTTTCAACACATTGACAAGGGCTGTTTGTCCGATCCAGACCCTTCCTTGGGAGTGAAGCTGTTTAAGAGGAATCCGGTGACAGGTGCTGTGTATGTTGCTAGAGGAACCAACACCAATGAGCAAGACAATCTGGACTTAGCGACCATCCTGGCTAGGGCCACCCACATCGGTAAGTGCAAGTGCATCAATAATGGACCATGATCCAGCTGCCGTTTGCTTCTAACTTTTTTACAAATTCAAATACTATTTAGGAATTCATAGGGGAGAGCGAATACTTGGGAACTTCTTCGAGCGAAAGAATGATCGAAAAGCGGTATTGAGACTGGGTGAGGCTGACTATTACACGTCCCAGTCAGAGAAGTTGCTTCTGATTCAGAGCTATGCCAAGTCAGTTGGTTTTAAGGAGCAAGACCTTCCATTCAAGGAAGTCGCTGTTCCTCAATCCGGTGACAATCCAGATGAGTACCTGGGCTTTAAATACTGCATGCCGGT